GTCCCTCGTTAGCCATGGCGGCGAAAAGGCCACGTGACCCCCCCTATAGAGGCGGGGCGAATGGGAGGGGACAGGACCGGCCCCGTGAGTGGCTGCCCTGTGGCCACGCCGCCTCCTTCCCTCGGCCTCTGTGGAGACCGAGAGGCCGGGCTGGAGCCGACCATGGCGCCCAGTGATTTGATGGGGGCTGCCGAGGACCTGGCCGACCAGGTGAGGGGTAGAGGGCTCGGAGAGGAAAGGGAGGCAGCGGCCTCTAGGCCCGCCCCATGCTGGGAGGGGGCGGGGAGCCACGTGCCCCCCCTCCAGGTGGGAAATGGTTCGGTCCATCCCCCCGCCCCCCGGGTGCAATGGAGGGATGGGATCTACCACCTTCCCCAAAAGGGGAGTCCCACTGAGGACCGGGACGTGCCACCTATTCCTGCGGGGGTGGCATGTGCCACTACCTACCTTCCATCTGGGACTGAGGGACGTACCGCCTACTCCCAGGCGGGGCTGCACCACTTACTTGCCCCTGGCACCAGAGCAAAGGGGCTGGGGGCATACCACTTAAAATGGGGGGGGCTTGTATCCAAAATAGATCTACCACCTGCTTTTGCCCTTCCGGCCCTATGGAGATAGGAAATTGAAGGGAAGGAAGAGGCCTTGCCTATAGCTCTGTCCCCCCCAGAGGGGGACAACCCATAAAGAAGAGGAAGGCACGCCCCAATTCCCCCCCCGGCCCAGGGGGTGTGTGGAGCCCTTGGAACTCTGCCACTTGCTCCCCCTTCCCCCCCACACGTAGATGCAGCAGGGTGCAGGGGTGCATGGGAGAGCAGTCCCGGGGGGGGGGGCAAGGTATTGCCCCTCCCCCCACCTCCTCCCTGCCCATTTAGAGGGGGATCTGGAACTCTGTTGTGGATGGGGAAACTGAGGCATAGCACAAAGGAGCCAGTGACTGCTCTGGGTTTAGAACTGGGGGTTGTGGCTTCATGGAGCCTGGTTCATCCCTCTCCACCCTGGCCCCTGCTCTGGGGAATCAGGCTTCCCTGTTTTGGCAGGGATCATGGTCCAGTGGTTGGAGAAAGGCAGAGGGAACCCCTGACAGCTAGTGCCACTCCTGCCTCAGTTTTCCCATCTATAATACGGAATGGAAGCCTGTGACCCAGAGCTGCTCAGAACTCTAGGCAGGCCGGAAATGTCTTTTCCCCTGCCTGCCACAGGCTGCTGCTTTATAAGCCTAAGGGCCTGGAAGATGCAGCTGCCTGAGGCAGTAGGGAATGAACCATGCTGATCTGCTGGCCCTGCCAGGCCCACCGCCTTTCCACCCCTAACACCGCCCCCACCCCACACCCACAGTTCCTCCGGGTGACCAAGCGCTACCTCCCTCACCTGGCCCACCTCTGCCTGATCAGCACCTTCCTGGAGGACGGGATCCGCATGTGGTTCCAGTGGGATGAGCAGCGGGATTACATCAACATCTCATGGGGCAGCGGCCCCATCCTGGCCACACTCTTTGTGCTCGTCAACATGGCTGGACAGCTGGGTGAGAGCCCTCATGGGAGCTGGGCTGGCACATGAGGGCAGGTCTGGTTCAGGGCACTGCTCTGGAAAGAAAAGAGGGCTGGCTCGGGCTCGTCTAGCCCAGTGCAGTGCCAGCAGTTCAGAGCCTCTGCGTCTCTCCACAGCTGGCTGTGTGCTGGTCCTGGCCAGGAAGTATGTCCCTTATGCCTGCTTCGGCCTCTTTGGGATTATCTTCATGCAGGTGGGTCCCAGATGGGCTGGAGATTCCTTCAGGGGTTCCCTGGGTGCAGGGTAGTGGTGATAACGCCTGGGAAGACTTGGGTGGGGGTTGCTGCTGCACTGCATAGCTGGCTAGGAGTTATTCTGGCCCAGCTCAATTCTCCCCTCCAGGCTCCAGCATCCCCTCCTCTTAAAAAGAGGCTCCAATGGCCCCTGCTTGCCAAGGGGCTGCCAGGGTGCAAAGCCCTGGGATGAGGCTACATCTGTGACACAGGGCTCAGCCTGGGTTGTTTCTGTCTTGCAGACAATTGCCTACAGTATTCTCTGGGACCTCAAATTCCTTATGAGGTGAGTGATGCCAGCAGCAGAGTGGCTACAGAACAGAGGGAACAAGGTGGAGCCACGTCCTGTGTTTCTAAAGGGATCTCTGGTGTCTTGGGCTCATAGAATCAGAGCAATCAGGCTGGTAAGGTCCACAGGTAGCATCTCATCCAGCCCCCGGCTCAAGAAAGCATTAGCCTAAATTAAACCAGCTCAGCCTGGTGTCCGTTCAGCCTGTTCTTGGGCATTGCCAGGAATGGAGACTACTGTTTCTCTGAGCAGCCTATTCCAATGCTCGAGCCACCTCATAGCCAGAAAGTTCCTCCTCATCTCCAGCCTCAGTTTCCTCTGCTGCCATTGGAGACCATTGCTCTTAGTCCTGTCCTCGGTGGCCACAGACAAGAATCGATCTTCATCCCCCTTGCACCCCTCCTTCAAGGATTTGTGGCCTGTGATCAAATCCCCACTTCAATCTTCTCTTCTCCAGACCCAAGCAGCCAAGGTGTTCCAGCCTCTCCTCATTGGTCCTGTTCTTCAAGCCTCTCATCATTCATTAAATCATGGAGCAGGGCCTCATCCAGAGGTTATATCCAGCCCAACCCCCTTGGAGGCAAGATTATCCCCATCCAAACTAACCCAGACATGTCCTCATCCAGCCTCTTTCCTCAAACTACACAGTCAGTTTGGCTACAAAGGTCCATTGACCTCAGGCACCAAAAGCCCCAGAGCTGCCCCAGATAAAGCAGGGGGACTCTTTCTAACTGGTCCATATCTTGAAGAGCATAGAGCCCTGCACATAGTCTGCGCTGTGCTGCCCATGAGCTCTGGAAGCGGGCCTCTCCGTGAATAGTGCATGTGTGCACACACGCTGGTGATTGTGCTGGTATACACACATGTGCACATACACACACACACACACCCCACAGTCATCTCATACTGAGATTTACTCAGCTTCTTGTGATGGAAGAACATCAGACCTACTGTTTACTTGGTCTGACCATTGGATTGGACCAGGACTTTTCTCCCCTGTTCCTCTCTCACCTGCAGCCTCCAGCATTTAAGGTATAGGAAGTTCTGATTCAGAGGCTGTGCCAATCATTCCTGTGCTCAATACCAATGCCCCTTTCCTGCAAGATTATGACAAATCCCTTTGTGAATCTGGCTAAACTCTCAGCTTCCACTGCATCTGATGGCAACGAGTTCCACACTTGCATGATGCACTGGGTGAAAAACAATGTCTTGTGTTCATTTTAAATTTAACAGCCTACTAGTTTCATGCTGTGACCCCTCATTTTTATCTGGTGAGAGACAATCAATAATAAATCCTTAGTGACTTTCTTTGCCATTTAGTATTTTGTAAACCCTTTTCTTCCCCCCTCCACCTCAAACATCTCTTCTAAACTGAACAGGCCTGGCCTGTTACTCTCTCCTCGCATGGAAGCCCTTCCGTATCACAGATCATCATTGCTGACCATCTCTACTTCTTCTGTGTCCTCTCTGAGGTGTGGGGACCAGACCTGGGTGCAGTCTTCCAGGTTTGGATACGCCTTGGGTTTATAAAGGAGCATCCTGATACAGGCAGTCCTCAGACTTTTATGATGCAATTCGTTCCAGAAAACGGCATATTAAGTTGAAATATCATAACTCGGAACCAATTTTCCCATCAGAACAATGTCATAAATGGGGGATTGGTTCCTTTACAACGCTTGATGCTGCGTCCAGCTGGTAAGTCTGGTCTGGTGGAGGGAGGGGATTGGAGTTGGGGCTGGGGCAAGATGCTCATCTAGCGGCTCCTGCCGCTCATCCAGGAGGGCATGGGGGGAACGTATGCCCCCGGATCAGGGCGAGGCCAGGGCTGCACCAGGCTGTACTGGGAGTAGGGGTTATGCCCTCCCACTGCTCACCCAGCCAGGGTGGGATGGGTGCAGGATGGGGCTGCTGCAGTGTCTCCAGACAAGCGGCACGCAGTAGCAGGAACTGCCCCCTCCTCCGGCAAGCTGCAGCTCTGTCCCATGTTTGCCCTACCCCAGCTGGACAAGCAGTAGCAGGGCACGGGGTGGGGTATGTGCCCGTCTGGCAGGGCAGGTGTGGGACGGAGCCGTGGTTCGTTGTGGGGGGTAGGGGTGGCTTCTGGCACTGTGCACCACTTGTCTGGAGGCTGCACAGCGGCCCCGCCCCAGCTGGGTGAGTGGCAGGAGGGCACCCCCCGCCCTCCCAGACAAGCAGCGGGAGCTGCCAGACAAGCAACTTTCCCCAACCTCTCCTTCACTGCAGGGAGCCTTTATCTGCTCCCCCACACCCCTTCCTTTCCCCCTCCCCTTCCACCACATGAGACTTACCAGCCGGACACAGCTGTATCGAGCATCATAAAGTTGAAACCCATGTCGGAAGGTCAAAACAGGGGGTCAACTTATAAACTTCTTAAGTGCCATTTGTTGTAATTCAAAGTCGTAAGTTGAGGACTGCCCATACTTCCATTTTGTGTTTGCAAGCCCCTCTATGCCACTCTTCATCCTTAAAATCAAAAAATTGGGATTGGAAGGGACCTTAGGTGGCCATCTAGTTCAGCTCCTTGGTCAAAGCAGGACTGTCCCCAACTATATCCCAGCCAAGGTTTGTCTAGAGATTCCACCACCTCTCTGGGTAACCTGTCCCATTGCTTTACTACCCCCCTAGTGAGAAATTTCTTCCTAATATCTGATCTACATTTCCCTTGCTGCAACTTGAGCCCATTGCTCCTTTTTCTGTTATTTGCCACCACTGAAAACAATCTTGCTCCATCCTCTTTGGAAGCACCCTTCAGGTAGTTGAAGGTTGCTATTAAATCCCCACTCAGTCTTCTCTTCTGCAGACTAAATAAGCCCAGTTCCCTCAGCCTCTCCTCAGAAGTCATGTTCCCCAGCCCCCAAACCATTTTCATTGCCCTCCGCTGGACTCTTTCCAATTTGGCCACATCTTTCTGTAGTAGGAGGCACAACTGGACACAGACTCCAGATGCGGCCTCACCAGTACTAAAGAGGGGAAGAATCACTTCTCTTGATCTGCTGGCAATGCTCCTACTAATGCAGTCCAGTATGTCGCTAGCCTTCTTCATGATGCCTACACAGTCAGATGGATAGCAAATTGGCTGAGGGGCCACACTTAGAGTGGTGGTGGATGCATCATGTTTGACCTGGAGGGATGTGAGCAGTGGAGTCCCCCAGGGCTCGGTCTTTGGGCCCGCACTGTTCACTTTCTTTATTAGCGACGTGGACGAGGGGGTGAAAAGCACCCTGTTTAAATTCACAGACGACACCAAGATTTTGGGTGAGGTGGGCACACTAGAAGGGAGGGACAGGATACAGCTGGACCTGGACAGGTTACAGGGGTGGGCAAATAAGGATAGGATGGGATTCAATACTGACAAGTGCAGGGTGCTGCACTTGGGCAGTAAGAACCAGCAGCATACCTATATGCTGGGGAACTCTCTTCTTGAAAGCAGTGGCAGAAAGAGATCTTGGAGTCATTATCGATTCCAAGGACGCGGTCAGTAAGGCTAACTGCACCTTGTCATGCATCCATAGATGCATCACGAGCAGGTCCAAAGAGGTGATCCTCCCCCTCTGTGCGACATTGGTCGGGCCACAGTTGGAGTACTGTGCCCAGTTCTGGGCGCCGCACTTCAGGAGGGATGTGGACAGCATGGAGAGAGTCCAGAGGAGGGCCACTCGCATGGTCAGGGGGCAGCAGGGCAGGCCCTACAAAGAGAGGATTCGGGACCTGAACCTGTTCAGCCTGCACAAGAGAAGGCTGAGAGGGAATCTGGTGGCCATCTATAAACTTACCAGGGGGGACCAGCGGGGAATGGGAGAGACCTTGTTCCCCCGAGCACCTCCCGGAATAACAAGGAATAACGGCCATATGTTGTTGGAGAGTAGGTTCAGACTAGACATTAGAAGGCACTACTTCACAGTCAGGGCAGTTAGGATCTGGAACCAACTTCCAAGGGAAGTGGTGCTGGCTCCTACCTTGGGGGGTCTTTAAGAGGAGGCTTGACGATTACCTAGCTGGGGTCATTTGACCCTAGTTTTCTCTCCTGCCCAGGGCAGGGGGTCAGACTAGAAGATCTGCAAGGTCCCTTCTGGCCCTATATCTATGAATCAAGGGCAAACTGTTGACTCATATTCAGCTTATTGTCCACTGTAACCCCCAGGTCCTTTTCTGCAGAGTTGCTGCTTAGGCACTTGGTCCCTAACCTGTACCAGCGCATGGGATTTGTTCACTTTGCATTTGTCCTTGTTGAACCTCATGAGATTTCTTTTCTTTTGGCCCAGTCCTTCAATTTGTCAAGGTCTCTCTGAATCCTAGCCCTACCCCGTAGCATATCCACTGTTCTCCCCAGTTTGGTGTAATCCATGAACTTTGCTGAGGGTGCAATCCATCCCATCTTCCAGGTCACTGATGAAGATATTGAACAAAACTGGCCCTGGGACCAACCCCTGGAGCGCTCCACTTGACACCAGCTGCCAATTAGACATCAGGTCATTGACTGCTACCTTCTGAGCCCGATGATCCAGCCAGTTTTCTATCCACCTTACAGTCCATTCATCCAACCCGTACTTCCTTAGCTTACCGGCAAGAATATTGTGGGAGACCATATCAAAAGCCTTGCTAAAGTCCAGGTATATCATGTCCACTGCTCTCCCCGCATCCACAGAGCCAGTGATCTCATAGAAGGCAGTCAAGCTGGTTAAGCATGACTTGCCCATGATCAATTCATGCTGACTGATCCAAATCACCTTCTCTTCCAAGTGCTTAGAAATGGATTGCTTGAGGACCTGCTCCATGATTTTTCCAGGGACTAAGGTAAGGCTGACTGGTTTGTAGTTCCCTGCGTTAGCTAATAAAAACCTAGGATTCTGGACTAGCTTAGGAATTGGCATGACACCTCATTCAATGAATGACAGCAAGGCTTTATTTACTACAAGTATTCAAAGTCATATGAGCCCAAACCAAAGCAAAGTCCAGTAATTAGGTATACGGTGATGATTTCTCACCAAACAGGCAACAAGAGAGACAGTCTGTTTCTTCTAGCTTCTCGAGATAGCTGGGGCACAGCAGCAGTTGGTGTCAGAGAGATTTCTCACTCTTGAAGCATACCCGCTGTTAGCTGTTTTCGCTTCATTCTTACACCCTTAGTCCAGCATCTTCAAAGCTTTCTTTTAGTTGTATAAATCAAAAAAGATTCCCAAGCAGTAATTGACAGGAAAATCCTGTTAATCAAACTGCTCATTATTGGTTCTCAGAAAGTTCCAATTTGAATGAATTACTTTCCTCAGTGACAAGAGGTTATCCACTTCTTCTGAGTTGTCAAGAAACTAACAACCAGGAAAACACAAGGTTTTGGGGAGTGTCCTTGGAAAATCAAGGTAAACCACTAGCCAATACAGAAGTAAATCAGGAGGAGACATCTATCACATATGGAGAATGACTGTTTCTGTAAATAACATGAGTTAATTGCAAAAGAAATATTTACCATACTAATTAATCAAGGATAGACATTTCACACAGTTACATACCAGACAACTAGAAGCCTACTTGAAATCCTCATGAGTCTAGTAAGATAAGCCAGAAGGGCTGCCTCATTATTTCTTCTCAGATGGCCTAGCCATGAACTCGCATCCTCTTGCACTATGCAGTTAGCATCAGTATTTTGGATTTTAACTTGTGAGTAGGCCCCAGTTTAGCATGAGTTTGTCATCACCTGAATCCTTCCCTTCCTTAAAGATAGGCACTATATTTGCCCTTTTCCAATCATCCATGATGTCTTCTAATCATCATGAGTTTTCAAAGATGATGGCCAGTGGCTCTGCAGTCGCATCAGCCAACTCCCCAGCACCCTCATGTGCATTCCATCCAGCCCCATGGACTTGTACATATCCAACTTTTTTAAATAGTCCCTGTGCTAAATAGTTCTGTGCTAGTTTTGGCTGCTTACCTTTTCTCCAAACTGCTGCCAGGTGCAGTAGTCTGGGAGCTGACCTTGCCTATAAAGAGTAAGGTGAAAAAGGCATTGAGTACTTTAGCCTTTTCCACCTCATCTGGCACTAGGTTGCCTCCCACATTCACTAAGGGACCCACGCTTTCCCTGATCTTCCTCTTGTTGCTAACATAATTGTAGAAACCCTCCTTGTTATCCTTCACATCCCTTGGTAGATGCAACTCCAGTTGTGCTTTGGCCTTCCTGATTTCATCCCTGCATGCCTGCACAATATCCTTATATTTCTCCCTAGTTGTTTATCCAACTTTCCACTTGTAAGCTTCCTTTTTGTGTTTTAGCTCACTGAAGAGTTCCCTACAAAGCCAAGCTGGTCTTCTGCTGTACTTGCTAGTCTTCCTGCGCATCAGGATAGTTACTTCCTGTGCCCTCAATAAGGTTTCTTTTAAAGTACAGCCAGCTTTCCTGGACTCCTTTTCCCCACAGACTGGCCTCCTAAGGGATCTTGCTCATCAGTTCCTTGAGTGAGTCACAGTCTGCTTATCTGAAGTCCAGAGTTTGTACTTGGCTGCTCTCCTTCCTTCCTTTCCTCAGGAACCTGAACTCCATCATTTCATGGTCACTGCTGCCCAGGTTGCCATCCACTACTACATCCCCCACCAATTCTTCGCTGTTGTGAGCTCCAGGTCAAGAAGAGCATTGCCCTAGCTGGTCTCTCCAATACTTGCATGATGAAGTTGTCCCCAGCACACTCCAAAAAACTTTCGGGATTGCCTGTGCACTGCTGTATTGCCTTCCCAGCAGGTGTCAGGGTGATTGAAGTCCCCCATGAGAACCAGGGCCTGTGATAGGGAAACTTCTGCTAGCTGTCTGAAGAAAGCCTCATCCACCACTTCCTCCTGGTCTGGTGGTTTACACCACACACCCACCACAACATCACCCATGTTGCTCTTCCCTCTGACCCTAACTCAGAGACTTTTGACAGGCCTATATCCAGTTTCATACTGGAGCTCTGAGCAGTCATACAGCAAAACTCCTCCTCTCTTCTCCCTTGTCTGTGCTTCCTGAACAGCTCATAATCGTCCATGAGGATGACAGTGCTCCAGTCATGCAAGCTATCCCACCAAGTTTCTACTATTCCGGTCCTGTCATAGTTCTGTGATTTGAGGACTTCGTTTTTCCTGCTTGTTTCCCAGGCTCCATGTATTCATGTACAGACACCTGAGGTAACTAATTGCCCAATTTTCTCAGGAAGAAGAAGGTGACCTCCCCTGTTGCCCTCTCCTGCTTGCTCTTCATCACTTACCTTAGGGGCTTGGTCTCCATCCCTCAGCAAACCTAGTTTAAAACCCTCTTCACTAGATTAGCAAGCCTGTCTGTGAAGATGCTTCTCTGGACCTTCTCTAGTTCTTCTCTATCGTCTTTGTGTGGGCTCTGAAAGTGATGGGCAAGGGAACAACCCTGGTGCCTACCCTTGGCCAATGCTCTCCCCCTACTTTGCCATTCCCAGGAACCTTGCGCTGGGTGGTGGGCTGCTGCTGCTGCTGGCCGAGTCGCGCTCTGAGGGCAAGTCCATGTTTGCTGGCGTCCCAACCGTGGATGACATCTCACCACGCCAGTACATGCAGCTGGGTGGGCGGGTGCTGCTGGTGCTCATGTTCATGACTCTGCTGCACCTTGAGCTCGGCGCCTTCACTGTGAGTAGCCTCCAAGGCCGGGGCCCAAAGGGGCTATTCCTTTCCCTCCCCAAAACGCATCCACATGCTCCAGCCTCCAGGCCTTGCCCTGGCTTTGAAGGGGCTGTTGGATATTACCCTGCAGAGCAGCAGAGCAGATGCGGGGTAGGGACAGTTGCCCCACCAAGGGAGTAGCAGGATCCTGTCCTTGGGAGATCAGCACAGAGCATCACCTCAATCTCTGCTGCTTCCAGGCTGGGCTGGGCAGAGGCAGCGCAGGTCCAAAACCCAGCACACGGGGCTGGGCAGAGGCAGCATGGGTCCCTGGGGACCTGATCCTGAAATGGGGCCAGAGGTGGTGTGGGCCTGATCCTGGAACATGGGATCCAATCTGGGCCCACACCACTCATCTGGCCCATAAGGCCAAAAGGTTTGGCATCACAACTCTAGGAGGAATTGGTTTTGAAGACGACAGGGCAGAGATGCCCCAAGTTGCTTTCCTCATCTGGGAAGCAGTTGCTTTGGCACTGAGAAATCAGGACACCTGGGCTCTCTTGCCACCTAAGCATGTCCTCTGGGGCGGCACCCAGACTCCTGGGTTTTCTGGCTGGCTCTGCCACTCCTGATTTCCTACCTCCTCCCCTGCCCCAGATCTTCCAGGACATCTTCGGCATGGCTCTGATCATCCTGGTGGCCATCGGCTTCAAGACCAAGCTGGCCGCCCTGACACTGGTCGTGTGGCTCTTGGTGATCAACCTGGTGCAGAATGCTTTCTGGACCGTATCCCCTGCCCGGCCCCTCCACGATTTCCTCAAGTATGACTTTTTCCAGACCATGTCAGTCATCGGTGGGCTGCTGCTGGTGGTGGCACTGGGGCCAGGAGGCGTCTCCATGGATGAGCACAAGAAGAAATGGTGAAGCCCAGAGCCAAAGTGGGGTCCATGACGGGGTGGGGTGGGGAGAAATCTTTCATGACAGCTTTTTTTTTTTTATATATAAAGCTTGGCCCTTGTGTAGTTCATCCCCCCCACCCAGGTCCTGCCCCCTGGAGGTTTATCATTGTTCACTGTTGCCTTATGTGGGGGGAGGAGGATGAGAGGAAGCGTCTTCCTCCGATCTGCTTGGAGACATGTAAATTAAAGTGTATATTGTATTCTCCAGCCCAGGAGTCCTATGTGCTAGCCAGGCGTGGGCTCTAATGGCTTCCCAAAAGCCTCTATTACCTGTGCTCCTGGGTGGAGGAGCAGGGAGAAGCAGGAACCTCATGCAGCCACCAGGAATGGGGCATGGGGGCTGCTCCTTTCCTGATGACATCCCCAAGGCACGAGAGGCCTCTGATTCCTGGTCCATGTCACATCTGGAGCCAGTCCGGGGAGCACAAGGTCTCTTTGGGAGTGTGTTCCAGCACTGATTTTGAAGCTAGGAAAGAGGCCAGACCGGCTCTTGTAGAGGAGGGGCAGGGAAGGGGGCACCAAACCATCTCTGGTCTGCCTGGCTGGGAGCTCTGCGCTGCCTGAAGGTGGCATACATAGCTGCCAGGAAAGGGTTGCATGGAGGAGCCCTGGCTGAACACTACCCTGACAGGGGCAGGCTGTTTTTCCCCAGCCTGGGGGAGCAGAGCCATGCTAGGAGATGACCACTGGTAGGATGAGGGGGCTCTGACAGGGAGCTGCCAGCTGTAAGTCACTATTACTCCACCCACCAATTTCATTACCCAGCTCCAGCTTCTAAAGCAAAGGGACTTTGAGCACACAGCACAGGCCTTGGTCGCGTACTACTCATCCCCAGTTGGGCGATGTCAGAGGCCCCCGCAGTGGCCCAGCAGACCTGCTGAAGGTCCCTTTGCAACGAGTAGAGGAAGGAAGGGAACCTAGAGCTGGCTCCTATGCTGGTCCTAACCTGAAGATATCTGCTGCCACAGCCACAGCCCTAAAGCTGCCTTGGCACCGACCAGCCAGTGGAGATTAAGGTTTGTCCATGGCCACTACATGCCTGGCAGCTGGTGAAACCTGAAACCTGCCCAGCCAGTAACACTTTGTGCTTTTTGGACACAGCTTCCCTGCCCCTTTTGAAAAGCCAGCAGGATGACCTCTGCCTCTGCACTGGAGAAACTGAGGCATGGCGCAGCTGGGACTGGGAATACAGGGGGCAGAGATTCACTTGGCCAAATCACTGTTGGCCAGACAGCGTGAATTTCCCCACAGTGTGATCACAAGGTGCCCAGATCCAAGCTCGAAGGCCCAGGAACCTGGTGGGGATTTGAGCAGAACCCAGGAATCCCAACTCCCAGCCAGTGTAAATCAGCTGGGCTGGAGCTCTGGGGGCTCCTTACAGATCCCCTCCTTCCTGTCACCTGCCCCATTAGCGCCCTACCCCCTCTGGGTATTCAAAGCCCCTAGTACCAATCAACCTGCAGTGCTATCCTGGCTGGAGAAGGGGGCGTATCTGGCCCGGAGCCAGCCCTTGGCTGCCTCCCGTGGCCTCCTATTTCTAGCAGCTGTTAAACTGGTTTCATGCTCTTCCCTGACTTGCAGCAAAGGCCATGACACCCAATCCTCAGGTCAATGCCCCCTCATCTGCTCCCTGGGGCAGCCCAGACGTGCAGGGATAAAACAGAAAGGCTCTAGTGTCCTTACCCAGCTGGGTGCTGTGATCTGCCCCATGACACCAACAATAGGTCAGGACTCTTGGGTTCAAGCTCCAGAAGGGGATGAGGGTCTCAAGGCAGTGGCAGCTACACCCACTGGCAGTGGGAAGAAGAAGAGGTTCCCTGGATGCTTTGGGAATCCATTGCCCTTTGGAGAAGCAGCTCAGGGAGTGACTGATGGGAACCTAAGATGAGTTTTCCCTGCTGTGGCTTGTGACTTAGTCCTGCCGTGTCCAAGCTGCACCCTCAGGACCCCTGTCAGATGGTAGCGCTGTTCACAGCTCACACCAAGACTTCAGAGACAAGTGCTGTCTCACTGCACCAGGGGCTAGAGAACAGCCTGGCTGCACCTGGCAGCCTCAAAGGAGCCAGTCCCTCTCTGTAGGGGATGCTGAGTGCCCCTCTCTGAACAAGCAGTGGCCATGGGACCCCAGTCCCATTCCAAGAGCTGGATTCCCACAGATTTGTGGCACTCAACCTGACCCAAGGAGCACACGGTTGGTCCAGGGGTATGATCCAGCTCCAGCCCAACCCTGTGCACCTAGATCCAAGAACATCAGACCTGCCATTCCCTGAGTCAAACCCTAACTCCATCTTGCCCTGTCTCCTGTGTCACACTGGAGCAGAGAGCGGACACTAGAAGGGAGAATGAACTGGGTCTGCCCAGGGTTTTGTCCACTGTTCCTCTCCCACTTCTATTCTCCAAATTTTAAGGTCTAGAAAGTTGTGATTCAGAGGTCCTGCCCCTCACTTTTGTGCTCAATAGGTACTGATGCCCCTTTAAGACCATGGGCAGACCCTTGGTGAATGTAGCTAAAGACTCAGCTTCCACCACAACTGGTGGCAATGAGGTCCACCCTTTTTATTGATGTGCTGGGTGAGAAAGAACTGCCTTGTGTTAGTTTTAAACTGATGACCTACCAGTTTCATGTGGTGACCCTTATTCTTGTCTGATGAGAGCTAGTTGATAATACATACCTGACTTTCTCTTCACTATAACATTAAAACTGCCATTTACTGGGGCAGACCCTAGCTCCTTGCCCAGTCTCCTGTGTCACACAGTGGGCTCTGCTGTGTCCCTCCTTGGCACACCAGTTTTAAACATCTGACATTTGCTCCCATCCATTAGGTCTTCAGTTGTCCCAAGCAATCAATTGCCATTTTCTCAGTAGCCTCCCTCCCTGTGGAAGGCTTATAGTTTCCCATGGTGGGCCTTTAGTCCACAAACCCCTAAAGTGGCAAATAGGCCCGTGTGATACAGCAGCAGAGAACAGATGCTGAAAGGAAGAGCGAACAAGGTGTGGCCTGGGTTTTTTCTCCCTATTGCTCTCCCACTTGTAGCCTCCAGCATTTAAGGTCTAGGGCAGTGCTTCCCAAACTTCTTCAACATGAACCCATTTATGGCCCTATTTGCTCAGCATGGCCCCTTACTTCCAACCCACAGCCCCCCACCCCTACAACGCCATTTGGGCAACTGCTGTTCTAGGGAGTTCTGATTCAAAGGCCCACCCATGCTCAAAAGCTACTGATGCCCTTTCCTCCAAGAACGTGTCCAGCCCCTCTTTGAATCTGGCTGAACTCTCAGCTTCCACATCTGGTGGCTACGAGCTCCACGCTGTAATGAGGCACAGGATGAAGACCTGTCTTGTGTCCCTGTTAAGCCCCGGCTTCCCCACTCCAGGCAACAAACCCATGTCGGTGCCTGGTAAGAGATGGCAAAGAACAAATCCCCCTAGGCTCTCTTTTCCCTTTAGCGTCTCCAGAGCCCTCGATGCCGGCCTCTCCTTTCTAAACCCATCTCACGGAGCCGGGGCTTCAACCCACGGGGGCTGACATAGTCCCAGCTGGATCCGGGCTGTGAGCAGAGATCATCCTCTCGATCACTCCGTAGTCTCCACTTACAGAGGAGCCCAGGCGTCCTCCCCCCGCTTCCCGCCGCTGAGCAACTCCCCACGTGCTGCAATACACGTGGAGGATTCAACGGGCGCCGATGACAGCAGCGGCGCGGGGTGATGACGCAGTCGAAAGAGGCAGGGGAGGCAGTGCCGGAAGGGGTGAGTAGCTGCGCTGCTGGGGATGGGGGAGGTCGCCCTCTAGCGTCGGCCCCGCGCCGCCCCC